TCCAAGTGAGAAATAGCATGACAAAAACATCTTAGACACATGGAAATGTTTTACCTTTAAAGTTAGCGAAAACAGGACACACTGTAAACGGCTATTTGAGAAACGAACAACACAACAAATTTGAAATCTTTTCTGCAGACATGAATGAAAGCAGACTGAAGTATTAATATCTGCAAGTAAAGTAAATGTAGTTATGAAGTAAAATCTTTTTTGGCCTGTTGTCAACATTTCAGTACTACTCTATATGTGTATTTTTTTTAGTCTGGCTTTTAACTGAAGTGCATTAAGTCATATAATACATTTTAATCTTTGTGTTATGATATGGTACTAATTGGTACATGGATATTTATCACTTTACATTTGTTTTTTATTGAGTTAATTTATATAGTATTACTGTTTTGCTCCCACTATTTATTTATATATTAATACTTATTTTCTGTATTCAGTTCTACTCAATATACTTTTATTTATTTATTATTTGTATTAGATTTATATTATTTTATATTCTTTTATGCATCCCTCAGTTTTTTCCTCATTGCAAACTGAAGTGGTTAGAAAGGAAAACTGTGAATGCATGTGACTGTGCTTCTACAAGTGCGAATGTGTGTGTGTGTGTGTGTAATACTAATACTAATTTACAATTACCAGACAGAAACAATAGTAAATAAAATTAAAACCGTTCTATTATTTCAATAAGACTCACTCACAATATAGTTAAAAGACTAAGAGAAAATTCAAATCGTCTGTCAAAATGATCACTGTTGGATGATGTGCACCAGTCTTTCGTCAATCAGAACTAAAACACCCTAACCTGCCCATAGTGTTCAAAGCTGCTCTAATTCAACGCTGCAGCCACCAGTGCTTCTGCCTGACCTTTGTTTCCAACCCTATTTATACACTTAGATTCGTACCATGTCACAAAAGAATGGAAAAATAAATACTGCCTGCCTGTGATATAGATATTTTTATATCTTCTCAACGGGGAAGCAGAGGCCGAGAACGAGGGAGTAACGCTCTCGAGCTTTCAAGTCTAGTGGTTTGCGTACGTTGGCTTCTTGTGCTGATTCCCTGATACAATGGTCGCATTAACATATCAAAATAAGAAGGGAGACTTAAGTCAAGGCAACATTTAACTGGAGAAAAAAAAAATTCACAACGTCCTAAATATAACTTGGGATAATAGGCCAAAGAGGGAGCAGAGTGGGATTCCTGTTTTGACAAACATTATTCAGGACCTGCTTTAAATCAAATAAAGTCACCAAATAATCACTAAGCTGATGAAACCTGAACAACTGTTGATGTAGCCTCCCTGCTAAACACAGAACTCCACCGGCGGCAGATCTAATTGAGCAGCCTCGGGTCTGGATTATGAGTCATTAACATGGCCGTGTGTCATCGATGACCCCTACGCACACACACACACGTACGCGGCAGACACATACGCACACGGCTCCCACACCGAGGGGAAGCTGACAGATGACAGCGCAGACAGGAAGTGTCTGATTGGGTTACACTGAACAAACACTGGCAGCTACCTGATGGCTGGATAAAGCTTACATCTGTTCTTCACATCAGCGCCACCAGGGAACCACAGTGTGTATCACAGCACTGAGCTGCAGGTTCTCTGTTCTGTGTCTTTCTCTGACACTTCTTTCCCCTTTCCCTCCTCGTGCTGTTGAGACTTAACACTCTTGTCATCTGTTTACTTGGCGCAAAGACATTTAGCCACTCGTGTTAAAGAAAGTTTGGCTACAGCCGGGCACAAGAAGGACATTAAGGAATTGGTTTGTGTGACTAAGGCAGGAAATTTTATTTAAGCCAATTTAAAAGAATAGCAAGAGGAGCAGAGAGAATAAAAAAAAAAGACTCTTGGAACTTACCTTTAGCCCTGGTGGCCCCTCAGGCCCCTGGAAATGAGAGGAGACAGAAAAAAAAAAGAGACGTGAAGAGGACCAGTCTTTGTAAGATGAAATACAAATTTTTAGAGCCAAGAAAAGAAACTGGTGAAGCCACGGTCAGTTTTTATACAGTGAGCACAATAGTAAGGCAAAACAAAACCACAATCCATCCCTTGTTTTGTTCTTGTCAAAAAAAAAAAAAAAAAACCCAGTAGACTGAACACAATTTGAGTCTTTTTTTAATGGAGCTGTTCCATAAACAGGAATCTCTAATGACACCATGAATAATAAAATCTTCTATGGTTTATCTCTACTTAGTTCTTTTTAGTAAGTGAATAGACGTCGCCTGGTTTGACTCTTCTACTTGAACTCCATGCAGCGGCCCATTATCTAACTAGGCAGACGGCTGGAAAGACCAGCAAAGCTAATATGTTGGACAGGGCAGAAAAGGCGCCACATCTTTAACTGATATTTGAGTCGGTGATGGATGTGTCTGGAAGGACAGTTTCTATTTTCAACGTTTCACCGCATCCTCGAGCTGGTCATCAGAACGTGCACACAAACAGGACTGTTTTATGAATAAATCCAGGCTCAGAGTGTGTTCCCTCCACCTTGGCTGTACTTCTGTACTGAAGCAATAGCCACAATCGTTCATCAACACCTTCACTTTTGGCTGTCAGAGCCGGTGTTGGAAGGCTCCATCTTTACTGTCGTGAATGGATCCATTTGGCTCATCATGGCCGCTTGTGTCAAGGCCAGGCAGACCTTGTGCCCCACCAGCCCTCTACAACAACAACAACTGTATGGCTTCATTCATGCCCTTTGCTCCCCTGCTAAATACAAGGCATTCTGGGCCAGTAATGTTTCACTTAACATAAAAAAAAGACAAGTGATGACTCCAACCTGGACATCATGATGGGGGAAACTGTTCATGTGATGGTTTTTCTGTCCATCCATTCCTATTAATCTGTCCTGTCAAATTATATTTGTTTGAGCAGAAAAACATACTTTTTTTTCAATGTATTTTTGGTAATGCAATGGAATTGGAGAGTTGTGTTTTCAACATCAAACTAAATTCTAAAAAACAATTGACTTGTCTGGACTGTAGGCAGGCCTCATGCATGATAATTGCAAGAAAAAATGTTTTCCAGCTTAATTATCAACCAAGGCGACCAGGATGTTATATTCCATGTTCTATATTTCCATAACACTTAGTTTCTCTTAAGGACAAAGTGACAAAGGCGTAAAAATGTCCCAATTTTTACTCAAACCAAAACCCTGTCTGTAAAAAAAAAAATCTCCAGTAACAAGTTCTCACATTTACAGAAAGAGGCCCACACAGTTGCTGCTGGTTTATAGTACGTACCATCTGCACTACAAAAACCCTCAATGAGCAACGTTGAGAACCCAGAAAAAGCTTTTCCTCCTCCCTTTTAAAAGCCTTTGTTAGCTATCCTCTGTGGGGCTTGGTAAACATCTTTATGACCAACTAGGTATTTGCAAGCCTGTGCCACTGGCCTGCACACTAATTAGCTTGGCTACATCTGAGAGCACTCAGGAGCTACTGAAGGAGGAGGGGGGTTTTCAGGGAGTGAAGAACCCTTAAGGAAGTCCTGTTCCTGTTCCTTGTCCCTTTGTATTCAGCCCTGGGTCCCTGACATTTCTCCTGAACTGTGAACATTCCATTTATGTAAAAATACAAAAAAAGTTAAACATTTAAAGGTTATTCATTATAGCTAAGTGTCAAAGGCCTTAATGTTTGCAATCGTGACTTGGAGAAGAGGCATCAGGTGATGGTGATTCGGCATTTCCTGCGCAGCATTTAGCTATATGTGTTTTCTAAATCTCCTCATTCAACCTTTGCTGAAAGCTTTGGCAACATTAAACCAGAGTATTATTGTATTGACAGTCTGGGACTCAGTGTCCTGACTCTGACCGGAGGAGCTACAGGTTAACATAACATTATGTTCATTGCGCCGTTATTGCAGAGCTCGCTGTTGTTTGTTTTATGTAAGTGTACATGACATGGCAGCTCTGCTGTAATGTAAGAGTAAACTTTACTGCGGCTCCAGTGTGTGTGGGCCCCCTGAAGTTTTAAAATTCAAAATAAAGTAATTTAGAGTATTTATTTAGGTTGATATTACACTGTGATATCACAGTGTTCACTTTTCTATTGACACATTAGGTTCTCTTAGGATTTCTCCTGTATAACATCTAATTACTCAAATATATATCCAGTTATAAGAGGTGTTTGCCAAAGTGGGGGGTGGGCCCTGCCAGTGTGCACCTACGCTATTGTAGGAAGGCAAATTGTTTTTTAAATTTCAATATTTTCTTTATTTGTGCTTGTCAATAGTTGAACTGTACCTTCATCCTCAACATCCTAAAGAGGTTTTCTTTCCACTTTTCAACTGAAAATGTTACTACCCCAGCTGGGCGTGTTTGTGTTTTTACATTGGAATATTTGCCACTACATTGTAGGAGACCACAAGCACATTATTCATATAACCATCTAATGAGGTTAATAAATGCTGGTCCCCAAATGCAAGTCCAGTCAGCATTTTTAAATATCTATAGATGAATCATGGGTGCATTGTGGGTAGCTATCGTTCTAAGTTCTGTTGGACTATTGGAAAAAATAACTCCAAATCGCAGCTGTGAGAGTAATTTTTTCTTTTGCACATGGAACATTGTACAAAATCGACCACTGGTTTTCCATATTTAGCCTTTTTGAAGTAGAATAATGTTCCAAATGAAAACTTTTTGCAAAGCAGCGGGCCAGTTCCAAGGAGCTGAAGACCCCTCTAATTTACCCCAGAGACACCTTATGGTACTGATGATTTCGAGTTG